TCTATGTTTTAAGCACACAGATTTATTCTGTTACAATTCTGAAGGTCGGAACTTTGAAATCACCTTCACTAGACTAAGGCCGAGGTGTCGGTGGAGCTGGTTCCTTCTGGATGATCTAGGGGAGGATCCACTTCCTTGCATTTCTAGCCTCTGGTGTTCACCTGTACCCCATGGCTTACAGCCCTTTCTCCATCTTCAGAGTGCTTCACTCCAGTCTGTTTCCATCATAGCATTGCCCTCTCCCCATAGTCGAAACTCCCTCTTACAAGCATACATGCAGTTATATTTATGGCCTACCTGGATAATTCAGATATTTTCCCCATCTGGACATTTTACCTTAATTATGACTGCAAAGTCCCTTTTGCCATATTAGGGAAAATTCACAAGTTCTGGGGGTTAGCACATAAATATCATTGGGGCCATCATTTAGCCTCCTATAGAGCCTAAACATGTTTAGACTCCACTCCCTAAAGATTCTAGTTTAGTAGATGGTATCTAGTTTTATTTATTTTCTTTTGTTTTTTGAGATGGAGTCTAGCTCTGTCTCCCAGGCTGGAGTGCAGTGGCATAATCTCAGCTCACTGCAACCTCTGCCTCCCAGGTTCAAGCGATTCTCCTACCTCAGCCTCCCAAGTAGCTGGGACTACAGGTGCACGACACCACGCCTGACTAATTTTTGCATTTTTAGTAGAGATGGGGTTTCACCATGTTGGCCAGGATGGTCTCAAACTCCTACCTCAGGTGATCTGCCTGCCTCAGCCTCCCAAAGTCCTGGGATTACAGGCACGAGCCACCACACCCAGCTGATAGTGTCTAGTTTTGTAGGTGGTATCTTCCTAAAGATTCTAGTTTAGTAGATGGTGTCTAGGCCAGAGGCCTGTATAATCAGGTGCACATTCTACCAGCTATGTACTTGATTTCATATGCCTTGGTCTAGCACACAGATTTATTCAACCTACAGTTATTGTCCATAATGTCATGAGTTTTTATTTCTAGTTCTTAGGACAGTGCTGTTATCCTGATGTTCAGATACTCAAAAGCTGACTTTGGACAACACACACATAAATATAATAGTAGCCAGGGGAGGCCAAGGTGGACAGATCACAAGGTCAAGACATCGAACCATCCTGGCCAACATGGTGAAGCTCCATCTTCACTAAAAAATACCAAAATTAGCTGGGCGTGGTGGTGTGCACCTGTAGTCCCAGCTGCTTGGCAGGCTGATGCAGGAGAATTGCTTGAACCCAGGAGATGGAGGTTGCAGTGAACCGAGATGGCCCCATTGCACTCCAGCCTGGCAACAGAGTGAGACGCTTTCTCAAAAAAACCAAAAAAATACAATAGTTATCTCTTTGGACCCTCACATGCTTCCAAAGTAGGTTGTATTCCCTTTTTACAGATGTGGAAGCAGGCTCAGAGATTGTTCCGTCTGCCCAAAGCCACATAGCCAGGAGGATGTAGATCCAGAACCCAAACTCAACTCCTGCTCTAGAGCCCTGTGCATCCCACCGAACTTCCTAATGCAGAACAGGGCAGGGGAAAGTAGTACATTACGGGTGGCTTCCCAGGGAACACAAGTCTGTTTTCAACTCCTGCAACCTTCACCATCAATCAGAACTGCTCAAACGATTAGAATCCCAAAGCTCCATCATTCTACTCTTGACACCTGTATGACAGTTACAGCCCATCACTACATGATAAGGGAGATTGCAAGCACTCCAGTGTGGTTGAAGCAGCAGTCTTTTAGGATTTAAGATGAACTCTCTTCCCACACAGTTCCTGTCTGAGGAGGCTGCCTCCCCCGTATATAGTAGGATGTGTACTTTCAGAAGGCGAGAACATGACTTTAGTTAACTGCTCCCAGGCTACCATGGCAACAAGTGTTCATCCCGGCAGCTGCTCCACACCAGCTTGGTTTTCCACTCTCAAAGTTCTGCTTTAGCATTTTTGACAAACACCTCAGAACCAAGTCACACTGTGGGCTGCCTCGAGACCCAGGGGACCTTGATCCCAACTTGTGGCTCTACACACGTGGACCAACTTGCAGATGAGAGGCTCTAACACTGTAATCAAGGGGCTGTGACATCCTGGGGAAGCTTCTCCAGAGCACAAGTTGCTCATCTGTAAAATGCACATTTTTAAGTCATGTTTTTCAAGTTGTGGGTAGTTTTAATTTCCTATTATAGTTGTAACAAGTTAGCTTAATGGCATAAAACAATCTCATAATCTGGAGGTCAGAAATCTGAAGTGGTACAGCAGAGCTGTGCTCTTTCTAGAGGCTTTATGGGAAAATATTTTCTTGTTCCCCGACGGGAGGCTGCCTGTGTTCCCTGTGACCCTGTATCATTCCAATTTCTGCTTCCATGGATACCTTCAATTCTGACTTCCCTGTTTTTATATGAGATGGAGTTTCACTCTTGTTGCCCAGGCTGGAGTGCAATGGTGCAATCTCAGCTCACTGCAACCTGTCTCCTGGGTTCAAGCTATTCTCCTGCCTCAGCCTCCCGCATATCTGGGATTACAGGTGTCCACCCCCCATGCCCAGCTAGTTCTTAGCATTTTTAGTAGAGATGGTGTTTCACCATATTGGCCAAGCTGGTCTCAAACTCCTGATCTCAGGTGATTCCCATGCCTCAGCCTCCCAAAGTGCTGGGATTAAAGGCATGAGGCACCGTGCCCAGCTGACCTTCCTGTTTTATAAGGACACTTGTAATTGGACACTTGTAACTGGGATAATCTTACCATGTCAAGACCCTTAATTATATCTGCTGAGTCCATGTTGCCATGCAAAAGTAATATTTACAGACTCTATAAATTAGGATGTAATTCCTAGATGTGGGTCAGAAGGTAGGTGTCATTCAGCCTACCACATAGGGTCAGGAAGCCATTTAAGTGGCCATTACTTTTTAATGCCATTAAAAAGCATGGTACATGAAATTTAGTTATGATGCATAATACAACTTGATAAAGTCACATAGAATTTTAAATCTAAGACTATTTCTTGCTTTATCATTAGCAGAATGCCTGATATCCTTAAAAGCAAGGTCCAAAGAAGGGTTTGAAGATGATTTGAGCTTTTGACCCTATTACTCTAGAAATGCCAGACCCTCCAACAAGGTAGGAGTGGTTCTTTCCACACAGCAGAGTTGAGTTTTACCTATAAGACCTAACCAAAGGATTTAGAAAGCTACCTTTTAAGTCTGTGGAGCAGAACTTTAGAACAGGCGCCAGGCACGGTGGCTCACACCTATAATCCCAACATTTTGGGAGGCCTGGGTGGGCAGATCACCTGAAGTCAGGAATTCGAGGCCAGTCTGGTCAACATGGTAAAACCCCATCTCTACTAAAAATATAAAAATTAGCCCAGCGTGGTGGGAGGTACCTGTAATCCCAGCTACTCAGGAGGCTAAAGCAGGAGAATCACTTGAACCCAGGAGGCGGGAGTTGCAGTCAGCCAAGATCATGCCTACAGAAGACAACAAGATGACCAGATAGCCATCACAATGTTCAACCTCAAGGTTAGATATTGAAAAAACCCAAGAATATGACAACTCTGAGCTGACATGTAAGTCTAGCCACTAGAAGCTTTCATCACTTTTTCTCCCCCCTGCCATGTATAGATTTGAAATGTTTCCTTGCAAAAATTTTAGACTCGAGTTTTCTAGTGGAATACAAGCGAATTTCCATATATCTTGAAGGTATCGAAGAGCTGCAGTGTAAAGCAGACACTAATCATGTTGATGACATAATTGTTGCTTAAAATAAGACTGGACACCTGGCCGGGCCCGGTGGCTCAAGCCTATAATCCCAGCACTTTGGGAGGCCGGGGCGGGTGGATCATGAGGTCAAGAGATCGAGACCATCCTGGTCAACATGGTGAAACCCCGTCTCTATTAAAATACAAAAAAAATTAGCTGGGCATGGTGGTGCGTGCCTGTAATCCCAGCTACTCAGGAGGCTGAGGCAGGAGAATTGCCTGAACCCAGGAGGCGGAGGTTGTAGTAAGCCGAGATCGCGCCATTGCACTCCAGCCTGGGTAACAAGAGCGAAACTCTGTCTCAAAAAAAAAAAAAAAAAAAAGACTGGACACCCTCAGGAGATCGAGATCAAATGCAGGTAGTGGAAAAGTAACTGAAGGCTCAGCTGAATGGTAGAGTCTGATACTTGCAATGTTATCATTGAGCCTTAGGAAGCTGGTACTTCAGTATTCCTTTCCCTACCAAAGATTGCATGTCTTTAGTTACGACTGTAAGTGAGAAGGTAACTATGTCCTTTTAAGCTCAGGAAAGTCATAAGCTTGAGTGTACCTTGAGTTAGGAATTACCTTGGAGTAGGCTCTTATATTACTTTCTTAGGAACATCTAGTTTCCCTTCCCTTAAAAAAGGGGGATAGGAGGGTCAGGCACGGTGGCTCACACCTGTAATCCCAGCACTTTGGGAGGCTGAGGTGGATCACGAGGTCAGGAGTTCAAGATCAGCCTGACCAACATGATGAAACCCCATCTCTACCAAAGATACAAAAAATTAGCCAGGCATGAAGGCAGATGTGTGTAATCCCAGCTACCTGGAAGGCTGAGGCAGGAGAATTGCTTTAACTTGGGAGGCAGAAGTTGCAGTGAGCCAAGATTGAGCCTGGGCAACAGGGTGAGATTCCACCTCAAAAAAAAAAAAAAAAAGTAAGGGGTATGATTTACGCTAGTGATCGGGGTCACTTGCTGGCTTCTTATCCTATGCAAGTAAGATTGTAGACTCAAGTGTATCCCCAGAGGTGGGCTGTAGTTAAGCCCTACTGTTGCCTGGGAACATCAGAGGATTCATGTATTAGGGTTAGAGGATCAGAAGAAGCCAAATGACAGGAATCAATTTTACCATGAACTTCCCCTGTTTGTATCTATATACAAAGCCTGCCCAGAGGATTGTGAGTAGGTAATGCCTCTACACTGAAGAACGAAACAATCCCTTGTCATCTCATCTTAATGAGAACATAGAAGGCAAGAGGCTTATTTTGACTGCTTTATTTGTAAGTCCAATTAGTGATTTGACACAATTCTTTTCTTGCACAGGTAGCAGATGAAGCCTAGAGTTGCCACCATGCCTGCTAAGGTGGCCACAGCAGCCACAGCTTTGGAAGCAACATCCCCAGTAGTCTTGTGCCCTTTGGTGTCAGTAACAGCTACAAAGGAAGCAGACATCCGACTCTTAAGATCAGCATTTTTAAACAAGGGTAAGTTGAAGCCTTACATAAGGTTCCCCAGAGAAGGGGATAAAACTAAGCTTATTTGGGAAATTTGCAACATCGAATAAACTTACCCTGTGAGCCTGCCTCCTCCCTTGTTTCACTCCTACTCTTCTCCCCACGGCTCCCACTTGCTTTTAACAGCCTCAGATCAGATAGGCCAACACCTGGGAAGAACCTGAGTCTCAGCCTGTTTAATACAACATTTCATGCTAGTCGATGTGGTTAGCTGTCCCCTGAGGGTGTGATCCCACAGGTTCATTAAGACTTTCTCAGGTAAAGATATGGGATAACAGGAATATAAACCAATACAGACAAGTTTGGCCATAGCATGTTAAGATGCACATGCTCTGACCTAATCCTACTAGAAGCATAAGCTGAATTTCTTGTATAATAGTCAAAGATTCCAGCACTTTGGGAGGCCGAGGTGGGTGGATCACCTGAGGTCAGGAGTTTGAGACCCGCCTGGGCAGTATGGTGAAACCTCATCTCTACTAAATACACAAAGATTAGCTGAGCATGGTGGTGCATGCCTATAATCCCAGCTATTCAGGAGGCTGAGGTAGGAGGATCCCTTGAACTCAGGAGGTGAAGGTTGCAGTGAGTCAAGATTGTGCCATTGAACTCTAGCCTGGACAATAGAGCAAGACTCCATCTCCCAAAAAAAAAAAAAAAAAAAAAAGGATTCCAATATGGACTGAGAACAAAATTGGAAATAAGCTATAGATAGCCATGAAGGAGGATCATGACTAAGGTAGAGCCATGTAGAATCCTATATGGCCCGTTGTACAGATATAAGGTAGATAAAACAGGTTAGAGACCAAGTTCTAGATCAATAGGTAGAAGATATGATCCCATTGGCTTTGAAGTGATTTCTCAGAGGGTACACAGGAGACTTAATAGAAGCCTACCTCTGGGAAGAGAGATGGTCTTTTATTCTTCTATTGCTTAGACTTACCACAGGTACATGGTATATGTAAGCATCGACCTCTTGGCATAAAAAGCCAAGAGCTTGAATCCGGGAAGTACTCCAGGCTTTAGGTCCATACCTCTGAATGAGAAGTCATCTGACAACAGGAGAATGGGTCCCGGGAGACTGACTGTCATTGTTTTTGCTTCATTGGTTCCTGTGGCTGGAGACAGACAATTGAGTTTGTGTTTGGCCTCTGGGATAGTGGTTCAAGATGTATGTCAATGGAATGCTTAGAAGCAGAAGCTTTATGGGATATCTAGTTCATGTCATTTGTCCTGCCTTTACAGGAGAGGTTATGCCCTTTACTGTAAAAATGGGTTGGATTCTTGGGGTCAGGTGTGGTGGCCTGCGGCTCTAATCCCAGCACTTTGGAAGGCCGAGGTGGGTGGATCAACTGAGGTCAGGAGATTGAGACCAGCCTGGCCAACATGGAGAAACCCCAACTCTACTAAAAATACAAAATTATCTGGGCATGGTGGCATGTGCCTGTAATCCCAGCTACTCAGGAGGCTGAGGCAGGAGAATCGCTTGAACTCAGCAGGCAGAGGTTGTGGCGAGTCAAGATCACACCATTGCACTGCAGCCTGGGCAACAAGAGTGAAACTCAGTCTTTTAAAAAAAAAAAAAAAAACACACAGACATTGATTCTTAAAGAACTTGTCTATAGAACTTGACAAGAACCTGTTCATCTTAGACCCATCACATGAGTAAGGTAGACTGGGCCAAGAAGTTTTGACTGAGACAAGAGCTCTTGGCACTAAGTGAAGGATTAGTCATACCTGTCCTTAAGATCATCTAATCTGAAAAGCTGATACTTACTTTGCATTGAATTAGAATCACAGAAACAGGGAAGTGAAGTTTTTACCTCGCTTGTGCCTAGATGACACAGGGCAGGTCACAGAACACAGAGGGGAGTCAGGAGAGAGTCGATTGCAGATTAAGACACTGCAGTGGAAGTAGACCTGGAGACAGAAGAGAGTTAAGTGGAATCAATGCACTAACATTTAACCTGTCCCTGGTGACTTCTGAATCACTTACCATCCTAGAGAGCATGTGGGCTTCTGATACAAAGGCAAAAGCCTTCACGTCAAACCTCTGATAGTGATCAGGATGGGTCACGGAGGAGCCGACTGGATGGAAGGTAGTCAGGTAGTTGTCCAGGTTGTATGCACAGCTAGGAGGTATGCACCAGGAAGGGATGTCAGTCACAGGCATCCTGGAGTCAAATTTGTCATCTGCCCAGATTTAGTCATATGTCGTGTCTTCAGGACTATTGCCATATTTACCTCTGCCAGTACCTTTGTCATTCAGCATTTCATACCTGACCTATGATACCTATGAGGTCGTAAGTTGCATATGCCAGTTATATTTTAACTCTTTTAGCAGTACCCATTTTCCAGCTAAACGAGAAGTACAAGTTATATCATTTCAGAAGACACTGGCTTCTTCCCAAATATGACTATTCTATTAAAAAGAATGAGATCCAGTTATTTCCAACAATATGGGTGGAACTAGAGATTATGTTAAGTGAAATAAGCCAGGCACAGAAAGAAAAATATCACATGTTCACTTATTTGTGGGAGCTAAGAATTGAAACAATTGAACTTATGGACAGAGAGTAGGATGATTACCAGAGGCTGGGAATGGTAGAGGGGCCCTGGGGGGTGATGGAGAGTTGGTTAATGGGTACAAAACAAAATAGAATAAGACCTATTATTTGATAGCGCAGTTGGGCAACTATAGTCAATAATAAATTATAGGCCAGGCACGGTGGCTCATGCCTATAATCCCAGCACTTTGGGAGGCCAGGGTGGACGGATCGCCTGAGGGCAAGAGTTTGAGAGCAGCCTGGTCAACATGGTGAAACCCTGTCTCTACTAAATGTACAAAAATTAAGGCCAGCTGCAATGGCTCATGCCTGTAATCCCAGCACTTTGGGAGGCTTAGGTGGGTGGATCACGAGGTCAGGACTTCAAGGCCAACCTGGCCAAGATGGTGAAACCCCATCTCTACTAAAAATATGAAAAAGTTAGCCAGGCATGGTGGCAGGAGCCTGTAATCTCAGCTACTCAGGAGGCTGAGGCAGAGAGTTGCTCGAACCTGGGATGCAGAGGTTGCAGTGAGCTAAGACTGTGCCACTCCACTCCAGCCTGGCGACAGAGTGAGACTGTCTCAAAAAAGAAAAATAAACAAAAATTAGACAATTGTGGTGCCTGTAATCGGTGCTACTCAGGAGGCTGAGGCATAAGAATCACTTGAACCCAGGAGATAGAGGCTATAGTGAGCCGAGATTACGCCACAGCACTCCAGCCTGGACGATAGAGCGAGACTCCATCTCAAAAAAAAAAAAAAAAAAAAAAAAAGAGAGAGAGGAGAGAGAAAGCTTAGCAACTGAGCTACTACAGCTTCAAGAAAGCAAAGGTGCAGTTCTAGCTAAGTGCAGACTATTCCATAAGAATGCGTGAGATCCAGTAGGATAGAACCTGGCAGGAGAGCAATGACGATGAACACTTATGTGTACAACTGTGTGGCTACAACCTCAGAGCCTCATAGGGTTCAGATTCTAGAGTCAGGTGGGTATTTCTAATCCAAGCTCCACTGCTTAGGTATTGTTTTGGGCTGGTTATTTAGGCAGCAAGCTTGGGGTTTCTTCATGAAGTAATATGACTAGTCCAACTAGTCATGTGGAATACATGGCACTGGGCCTGGCACGTGGTGTTGTTCAACAGATGGATAGAGACTAGAGATCAGTCTTTCTAGACAATGAATCTGTATTAGAGCCAGACTTTCTGGGGCTGGGGAGGACCTCATTTAAGATTCAAAGGTGATTGGAAGACAGCACATGGCCAAGCATGGTGGCTCACACCTGTAATCCCAGCACTTTGAGAAGCTGAGATGGGTGGATCACCTGAGGTTAGGAGTTCGAGACCAGCCTGGCAAATGTGGCAAAACCCTGTCTCTACAAAGAATCCAAAAGTTAGCTGGGTTTGGTGGCAGACCCCTATGATCCCAGCTACCCAGGAGGCTGAGGTAGAAGAATTGCTTGAACCCAGGAGGCAGAGGCTATAGTGAACCAAGATCACACCACTGCACTCCTGCCTGGGTGACAGGCTGAGACCTCATCTCAGAAAAACAAACAAAAACAAAAAAACCCAGAAGGCAACACAGGTCCCGATTAGAAAACAAGGACTACCTCAGGGTCTCACATGACTGAATGCCCTTCTGAAGCCCAAAAGGGTTTATTCCCATCACTGGCAAGTTCAGATGGATTACTCGATAGTACAGGGAGTACCTACCCATCCACAACAATGTTCCACTTGGGGAGAGAGTCTGGATCCATGGTGGACGTTGCCCAGCAGTCATCTAAGACCAGCTTGATGTTGGGGTCATCCCTGTTTAGGACTCTCGCTTCCATGTAAATTGGTTGGCGGAGAAATCTCACTAGAGGGTACTCATTGTTCTCATAAGGTTGTTGGTAGGAATTACCTGAAATTGAATGGTATTTGAGTAGTTGATGGCTACAACACATATTCACAGGTCACCATCGCTGTTAGTCTAGCAGTATCAGGAAGTTCATTTTAGGGAGGAGTTCAAGAATATTTAAGCGATTTCACAGACTGCAGTCTCTTACCTGGGTAGCTTTGCAGGATTAAGGTAAATGGACCGGACCTCACTGAGGCCACTGGAGGAGTAAGACTTTCAACATTGATGTTTAGTAGCTTGTCATTCCTGCTGTAAGAACACTTCACCGTCATTCTGTAAGAGATTGGAGGAGGGAGGGTACAGAGAATTTTAGGTTAAAAAATTGCTTGAGTTAGGGCCAAGTGCAGTGGCTCACGCCTGTTATCCCAGCACGTTGGGAGGCTGAAGCAGGTGGATCACAAGGTCAAGAGATCGAGATCAGCCTGACCAACATGATGAAACCCTGGCTCTACTAAAAATATAAAAATTAGCTGGGCATGGTGGCACACGCCTGTAGTCCCAGCTACTCGGGAGGCTGAGGCAGAAGAATCGCTTGAACCTGGGAGGCAGAGGTTGTAGTGAGCAGAGATCACACCACTATACGCCAGCTTGGTGACAGCTAGATTCTGTCTTTAAAAAAAAAAAAAATCACTTGAGTTTAAACTAGAGTTTAAGAATCATATAGCAATTGTACTCACCTGAACTCACTGTCTCTAGATATTTTGCTTGGAGGAAGATCCATCCAGCGAGCATGTATTTCATTTTCATAGATGACTTTATCATCTTCAAACTTAAATGTCAGAGAAAAGTGGATTAACAGCCAGTTATGTCAAAGATGAGTCTTAACCTCATACCATCCGGCCAGTACTAACCTTATATCTTGTTCCACATCCATTCAGGGGTATGTGGAACCGTGCCAGCCCCTGGGACTGAGCCTCGAAGACAGGCTGGCAGGATGAGCTTCCCACCCTCAGAGTACCCAGGTCGAGAGCTGGTCGTGTTTGGTGGCTGTAAACCTCGAAGTCCATAAACCCATCCTGGGTGCACTGCTCGGCTGTAACTAGACAGCAGTGAAGGTTTAGAGAAAACAAGGTTGTCTGCCATTACACTGTCCTGTCCCAACCTGATGTGTTACAAGGGAGAAATTCTATCTTAGCGGGAGGCATCAGAACTTGTCTTAAAGTCTTTGTGAGGACACCTTGATCAGCAGCTTGTATTACAAGGGGAGCTGAAGTTAACTGCTCTAAGAGTAGAACTTTTCATCCAAAGGAGGGACCAGGAAATGCGGGAAGAAGTGCTGTATAAGACCAGTGAGAATCCTGATGAAGGGTGGAAGTGACTTAAGATTAAACTTAACGTGGTTTTAAGTACAGCACCTATGTTATTGCATCCTTTCTTTGTATACTCACAAATCCTGAGTAGTTTGGGGACAAACTGAGGCAGGAACTTATTTTCCCTATGTGGCTTGACCTGTGCAGATCAGATTAAACAGAAGCACAGGGTGGAGGCAATGCTAAACCAGAGATATTCAGTCTGTATTCCTTTGAGAATTTGCAGGAGTTTGGGGAAGAAGAAACTTAAACTTTTAATCCTAATTAGAAATTTGAACATTCTTATCTAGATGGTAGGCTCAGGCTCCTAAGCCAAAATATCTAGACTACTTAACCACGGAGCAATTACCATGAGATCTACCTATGTAAAGATCTTAAAAATCTTATACTTAGGACCCCATCATAGCAGTTAGACTGTTTCTTATCTGTCTAGTCTTTAGTTTCTTCAATCTGTAAGCAATACATCCGAATGTGACCTTCTATTTTTCCTACAGAAAGAGCCAAGGGAGAGAAAATGTAGAACATGGTTTTAATAAAAGGCCTTTACCTATGGAAACTGGTGACTCGCAGAGACACTCAGGATGGATCACCATGGATACCGTCTCCAGCTGGAGGAGAAAGGTCAGCTTGAGTGAAGCTAAGTAGAACTGATGGAATAGGCATTTTTCAGACAACTGAAATGAGAAGAGAATGTCAATTAGCAGCCATAGCCTGTTGGGGCCTGGAACCATCACGGGGGGCAGGAAGGAAGTCCACTGAATACTTGCAGGACACATTCCAGACTTATCTGGCTTCCCTTTAAACCAAAACAAGAGATACCCTATCACTTCCTCAGATCTGGATGCATCCCCAGGCAGGAGATTTATTGCTTTAAACTTGTGCCCTGGAGTACCCAGCACTGTACTCTTTGTACTAGGCACTAAAGCTTGAATTAACAGATCAAATGCCAAACAATAGTGGAATCTTCTGCCAAGCCAGGTCTGTGTCAAAAGGACTCTACAGATGTTATAAAATGCTATTGCATAACATGTACCCCCAACCTAAGGTTATTCTCTGGTATCCCTGGCAGTTCTAGTGAAGACTAGCCTCAACAGTGACAGTACGGGACCCTTTTGTTTAAATTAAGGTGTCCTGTTCATTGACCAGGACAGGTTCACCATTAGGTATTTGACAGGTAGTTGCTACTACTCAGTTGTGGGCTTAGATAATTTTAAGACTTAGAGGATTTTTCATGACAGAGGTTAAAGAGGTTTCATGTTAGAGAATGAACTTCAGTTACTTGATATTTCACTTATACAAGATGATCAAATGAGGCCTTCTGGAGTTTGAATCTGTTATGTTGGCAGTTAGTTTATGGGCAAGTTATCAGCTGTATCAGGACCATCCGCAACAGCATACTTCAAGTCAGGACTCTGTAGAGTTCAGTGGTTGATAATTGAACATACTTTCGTTTTGAGCAGAGTTTTGCTGAAATGCAATTTTGTGCCATCTGTTGCTTCTAGATCAATTCCACTGTCACGCAACTGGCTCACTTCAATGTTCTGGTTTCCAAAGTTCACAGACTTAAGCTTCCCAGGAAACTCTGGTATGGTGACAGTCATGTGCGTGGCATTGCAGGTCACAGGATCTCGAAAGAATGACAGCAAAATGCCAATTACCAGCCTTGATTAAGCTTCTAGGACAATGTCTCCCACACTGAGGTTGCAGCTATCTGGGACCTTACCTGGTGCACAAATAGCTCGTGAAGAAAAGATCACCTTCTGCCCAGGAGCTATAAACGTAAGCTTCAGAGACATCATGTAGAGATGACTGTTACCTTGCTAGAGGGATAAATAACAGTGAATTTCAAAAATGTTGGTTACTTGAGTCTCTAACCAGTAAGCATCATCTTGGCAAGCATCTATTCAAGTATTGAGCACTGCACGGACACAAGTAGGATTTAGGTGTTTGTCCAATGACTGTTCTGGAGGTATACTAGTTTCAATCCTTGTTCTAGTATCTGGAAGAGTGTTATCTAGGTCACCTGTAGCCAGTCACTTCTGGGCAGATAAGATTTGTCCTTACTCCATGACTGTTTTAAAGTATCAGCAGCCAGACAACGTTTTTAAGCCTCAATCCATTTGTGTTCTTAATGGAAAATAGGACTATTCTTGAAGTGGTTGACATTTGAGCCCTTATGTGTCAGGACCTGTCCTAGGTACTTTAACAGATGAATTCATTTAGTATAGTATTCAGACTGTTGGCCTGGAAAGCACCAATACTTGCTATAAAAGATAGGACAACAATAACCCAAACAGAACCCATTAACCCATAAAGCTTTTAGAAATATGCCTATTCTGTGTTGTACTATAGATTTAAGACTATGAAAAAGATCAGATTGACGTAAGGATCGTGTATTTTTTTGAAAAAGAGTCTTACTCTGTTGCCTAGGCTGGAGTGTAGCGGCACCATCTCGGCTCACTGCAACTTCCACCCCCCAGCTTCAAACAATTCTCTAACCTTGGCCTCCCGAGTAGCTGGGATTATAGGTATGCATCACCTCACACAGCTAATTTTTTTGTATTTTTAGTAGAAACAGGGTTTCACTGTTGACGAGGCTGGTCTCAAACTCCTGACCTCAAGTGATCTGCCCACCTCGGCCCTTCCAAAGTGCTGGGATTACAGGCATGAATACCCAGGGAAGAGTTTGGCACTTAATACATTGAAATGCTTGAATGGGTTGTATTGTAAGTTAATGTGAAGACATGGTTGAGATCATGCTTGGATTTAGGAATACTGGCCTATGCTTTGGTAGTACAATGACAGACTCCACACCTACCACATAGTGATTCACTCCAGTGGCATTGAATGGCACTTGGAAGGTCATCCTGTTGTTGTCGAATAGGAGGTTGAAGCCTTCCATCATAGCTTCCGACAGGGTCAGAGTTTTGGCTTTTGCACCATCACCAACCTCAATGCTCCATCCCATCTGAACTTCTGTCTGCTGAAGTCAAAAGCTTTGTTTAGGGTGCTGGTGCTCACTTAACCAAGTCTCCGGTAGTCTAATGATTTATCAGGTTAAAGGTAATATCACTTTTAACAGAATTAAAGGTTAAGGTTTGATTTTTAAAATTTTCTTTCATACCTGAGTGGCATCAGCCAAACCAGAGAAGATCCGTGGCAAGGAAAACTGGAAGAGAATTGTGATGTAAGACTGATTTGGAGGTGGATGTTTCTGAATTCATGTCACCTGCCAGAGAAATTGCTGTGTAGTTATCACACCAAGAAGCCTGGTTGGGGGATGCAGTGGAAAAAGCACATGAACCCTGACTGAGCCTTTAGATGTCATTATACTTCTTTGAACTTCTGATCCCAAGAGGCAGTTGGAAGATCTAAGCTCCTTTCCAGCTGTAAGCTGGGACAATTTTTTTCTGAGACAGTTTTGCACTTGCCACCCAGGCTGGGGTGCAATGGTGCAATCTCAGCTCACTGCAACTGCCGCCTCCTGGATTCAAGCAATTCTCCTACCTCAGCCTCCCAAGTAGCTAGGATTATAGGCATGTACCACCACACCCAGCTAATTTTTTGTATTTAGCAGAAACAGGGTTTCACCATGTTGGTTGGGCTGGTCATGAACTCCTGACCTCAGGTGATCCACCTGCCTTGGCCTCCCAAAGTGCTGGGATTACTGTGTGAGCCACTGTACCCGGCTGGAACAGTGTTCTTAAACATTCACCCTTTCACCTGTGTCCATAGAAATGAGGTACTATGTAAAGCCATGCAGTTCTATCATTGTTACAGTGTTGCTTTTATGTCAGTGTCATATTTTGTGGTCCATTGTTGACATTAGCCATGTTAGACTATAAATCCCTGAAGATGCAACTGGGCTGTTTTGTTCACTTATTTCATCTTAGCATCTGGGGTAGGACCTGGAACATGGCACGAATTCCATTTGTCAGATGATTAGTGTGAGTATAACTACCAATAAAACCCTTTCTATTCCCATGTGCCAAGTATCATGTATACACTCAGCCAATTCTTAGAGCCACCCTATGAGGTGAAGATCATTGTTCTATCATTTTGGACTTGGAAACAATGCCTCAGGGTGGTTAAACCATCATTGCACAGAAAATTGGCAAATACGGGATTAAATCCTGGTCCAATTTCTAAGCCCAGCCCTGGTTAGAACATCACATTCCCCCTGCAATAGCCATATACTTCAAGTAGTCAGCCCGTTTCACTCACAGACATTGAATCCTTTTTGCAGGTTGTAGCTGCTGAAAACCCATGGGTCTCTTCTACCTGCATAGCTGGACAGAAGAACTGGTACATGACAGCTCCGTGTCTTACAGCAGCACTGTCATTTATAAACTTGATGGTCATCTGGTGCCCGCCATGCTGTGTACAAATAGCACAGTGGGAACAGAGTAAGTGGTGGTACCTCCATGGGATTCTAGAATACCATCTGACCCACCTGAGTAGCAAAACCCTTAAAGTTGCCAATACCATGAGTGCTGGAAGGTACCTCATTCCTCTACCAGGAGATTAGCTAACCCATTGCAATTTGTTATTGAAGACTCATGCTGATAGGCCAGTTTTAGCATCAGGAAATGGAGTTCCGTTTCTGTTTCTCTTATGTCTACCCTATGTCTCAATACCATGGTCCTGGCTAAATGGAGTCGATATGGGGCTTCAACCCAGGTTATCTGAATACTTATTAAGCACTTAAGTAGCTGCCATTGTGCCGGGTAGAGCTACCTTTGCTATTACCCCTGACCTTAGGAAGCTCAGTATAGAGGCAGGATCAGCCAACCTTTTTCCATTATATATTAGCAACTCTTTCAGACTCTGTGGGCCACATAGAGTACATAGCATATTTCCTTAAGAGAACTTAAAAAGATAAAAGCCAACTGGGCATGGTCGCTCATGCCTGTAACCCCAGCATGAGGGAGGCCAAAGTAGACAGATTGCTTGAGCTTAGGAGTTCAAGGCCAGCCTGGGCAACAGGGGGAGACCCTGTTTCTACCAAAAAAATAAAAAAATAAAAATACAAAAGTTAACTGGGCGTGGTGGTATGTGCCTATGGTCCCAGCCACCAGGGAGGCTGAGGTGGTACTGAGACATAGGGTAGGGGATTGTTTGAGCCCAGGAGGTGGGGGTTGCAGTGAGCTGAGATCACACTACTGTACTCCAGCCTGGGCAACAGAGTGAGACCCTGTCTCAAGATTAAGATGAAACCCGTTCTTAGTTTGAAGACAAACAAAAAGCAGCCATGGAACTAGGCACAGTGGCCCATGTCTATAATCCCAGTGCTTTGGGAGGCTGAGGTGAGAGGATCCCTTGAGGCTAGAGGTTTGAGGCCAGCCTGGACAACACGGTGAAACCCCCATCTCTACAAGACAAAGGTTAGACAAGCATAGTGTTGCATGCTTGTAGCCGCAGCTAGTTGGAAGGCTGAGGCGGGAGAATCCTTTGATCCCAGCAGTTCCAGGCTGCAGTCAGCCATGATTGCAGCCACTGCTTTCCAGCCTGGGCTACAAAGTAAGCCTGTCTCAAAGAGGCCATGGACTGGATTTGGCCACCCACAGGTTACGGTTGGCAGTCCCTGGGTCTAAGAGAATGCAACTTTAAGCCGTCTATGGTTTAGAAGGCCTGTTTTAGAAAGAAATGACTGGATTTTTCATGAAGGACATATAATGATACTTCATTAGTTGATCATAGAGGGCCTTAGTGGACCAGATGACTTACAGTTCAAGCCTGTTTACAGAGTAGGGTCTAAAACTCTATCTGCACAAAGTTTATGCAGCTGACTACTTACACCGAAATCAGATGGTGTAGACTGTTAGGCATGCAGATTCCTAGAACTCACCCAGGCCTATGTCCAACTAGTCAATTACATCCAAACTTTCCAAACCACAACTTGCTAGCTTCTGCTTAGACAGGTTGCCTTTATTGCTCCTAATATTCCTAATTGGGCAAAACTGTTGCTTGGCAATAGAAAAACCCTTACTGCTTAGCCGCTGTTTGCCTTTTAACACCTGTGTCTGTGACGGTGGTGTTTTCTATTTGCTAGCACCAAAATAGCCTTCCATCTCATGTGAGGGTTTACAGACCAAAATAGCTAATGTTTCAGCATTTGTTGTATCCAGGTTTGGAAACAGATCTTAATCTGTAGAACATCGTTAGTCTTTAGTTACCCCATGGAGCAGGTACCATGACTCTCCTCTGCTCATGGGCAGAGGCTTGAAAGGGCTAGATAACTTGCTGGAAATTACTCCTAAGTAGTGGTGGAACCGGGGCTCAAGGGCTCAAGTACTGAAACAGCAGGGTTTCTGATCCTCAACACTGACATATCAGGCCTGGTAATTCTATTATGGTGAGGCACCTTGGGTAGTGTTGGTTATCTGCCAGCATCCTTGGCTTGTACCCACTAGATGCTGGTAGCAAGTCTTCTACCCCAGTTGTGATAGCCAACGATGTTTCTAGATATTGCCAAATGTCCTCTGGACAGATTTTTTTTTTTTTTGAGTTTCACTCTTGTTGCCCAGGCTGGAGTGCAATGGTGCAATCTTGGCTCACTGCAACTTTCACCTCCCAGGTTTAAGCCATTCTCCTCTCTTGGCCTCCCAGGTAGCTGGGATTACAGGTGACTACCATCATACCCAGCTCATTTTTTGTATTTTTGCTAGTGATAAGGTTTCACCATGTTGGCCAGGGTGGTCTTGTACTCCTGACCTCAGGTGATCACCCGCTTTGGCCTCCCAAAGTGCTGAGATTACAGGAGTGAGGCACCACGCCAAGCTTGGACAGATAATAGAAAAAAAGAGCCAGACACAAGACACCACCCCCTTGGTTGAGAGCCACTGCTTTACTCCAAAGAACAAGTTCTTAGCCAAGTTTACTACCAGTAACTATAGGTTACTATGTGCTTCCCCAAGTACTGCTCAAAGCAACTACTTACCACTCTCCTGGTACAGTTATCATAGGTAGCCCTCATGGTGAGCTTTTCTGGGTCCAGGAGGTAAGGGCAGTTCGGCATGTCAAGACCAAAGGGATCTGCCAAAGCCAGAGCAGGTTAGACAGGATGGCTGAGTGCATTTCAGTGACAGTCCAAAGCTGCAGAATCAAGACCACCAGTCCATTTCTAAGGCATTTCAGTCCCTTCACTTCTGCCCCAACCCGGTGATAGGATTTTAGCTTTGAGATACTAGGACTTGCAACCAGAAATTTCCCAGAGATGCTGATGTAAGACACACTTTCAAAGAAGACAGGTCTTCCATGCTGGGTTGCCTTATGCAAATCAGGTATCCCCATGGCATCATGGGAGTTGGGTGCCATTGCTGCAGGAGTTTGGGTACTCTGCTCCCCAAACAGGATTGGCCCAAGCCAAAGGCTCCCTGCTAATCAGGACTGTGATGAGATAACACACGTTACCTACCCACCACAGATGCATGCCATTTCTTGGTGCCAGGACTGCTCCGGAACTGCACTGCTATTCCCCTTTCATCGCAAATGACAGTGCCTAGAGAGCAAAAGAAGCATTTTGGGGCTTTGAGCCATAAAAGATGCAACTCCTACAAAAATGTATAGACTCCTCTCAGAAGGGAAGGATGCCAGATGAGAGAGGCAAGGATTGTCCCCTACCCTGAGAGAGCTCACAAACAAGCAAGACAACGACAGTATAATATACCAAGAACTGTAAGGAAAGTATCAGGCATCCAGGCTTTCTGAAGGAGCCAGGTCAACACCTTGACAATGGAGATGACGGAAGCAGATCCGAAAAACTGACAAAAGCTTTGTCAACAGGTTTTGCAAATTGAAGTTAGAAGCCAGCTGGGCACAGTGGCTCATTCCTGTAATCCCAGCATTTTGGGAGGCTGAGGCGGGCGGATCATGAAGTCAGGAGATCCTGGCTAACATGGTGAAACCTCGTCTCTACTAAAGATACAAAAAAGTAGCCAGGCATGGTGGTACGAACCTATAATCCCAGCTACTCCGGAGACTGAGATAGGAGAATCTCATGAACCTGGGAAGCAGAGGTTGCAGTGAGCCGAGACTGTGCCACTGCACTACTCCAGCCTGGGCAACACAGAGAGACAGTGAGGGACTGGAAGGCAGTGCAGGTGTTTTTTTGAGTTCTTTCATTTAGCAGGGATAGTAAGTCTACAGATTAGCAGAGAAATGATCCAGTAACCTGACCAAGGTAGAAAAGGGGGTGAATGGAGGTTGTCTGAGCCAGGCTTGTGTTTCTTGGCCAGCTATGCCCTCCAGCTACAACCTGTTTTCTCTGCTAAGAGAACTTCCCTTACCCAAGCACCATACCTGGAAAGGCAGGATTCACCAACTGAGAAACACCTATTGAGTTCACTGAAGTCACAAGGGTGAAGAAAAGAGAAATCGACCTGTAAGTGCTGGAAAGAGACAGGGAGATAGTTAAGGAAGAACGAACTTCAACCAACAAAGGTATCCTACCCCCTCCCTCTGCTTCCAGAATTACTCACCTCCAGCCTGCACCGAACCAGCCTGGGGGACTCCAAGAGTATCCTCTCTGCTTGGGCGCCATAGCAGAAGGCACTATCAGGCCAGGTAGTGGGTGGGCTGCTCTGTGTTTTTATATCAGGAAGCCAGTACCATCCACACCCTCTGCCCATTGAGGGCACCTGAATCTTCTCCCATTCTCCCAGCTGAAAGGAAAGGATTGGGGAAGGAAGTGGCCTCTCTGATTCCTGACAGCTTGCACTGGGCATTCGGCCAGCTGCCCCTGTGGGCCAGGCGTGAAATCAGAGTTCCCTGCAATCAGCTCCAGTTGAGTGAATTGGTATTTTCCCTATACCTTCGGGGAAAATTAGGATCTTTTGAGCAAATTATGTACAACTGCAATGTAGAATGAAAGAGAATCATGGGCTTTGTTGACAAAAAAAACAAGTCTTGTTCACACAACTAAACTTCTTTTTTGAGACACAGTTTTACTGTCACCCAGGCTAAAGTACACTAGTGCAATCTTGGCTCACCGCACTCTCCACCTCCTGGGTTCAAGTGATTCTCCTGCCTCAGCCTCCTGAGTAGCTGGAATTACAGGTATGCACCACCACGCCTGGCTAATTTTTGTATTTTTAGTAGAGACAGGGGTTTCACCATGCTGGTCAGGCTGGTCTCAAACTCCCGACCTAGGGGATCCACCCACCTCAGCCTCCCAAAGTGTTGGGATTATAGGTGTGAGCCATTGAGCCTAACCTAAAGCCTAGTAACATCTAGTCTCCTGGCTACTGCAGAAGTCACCCTGATAATACACATGAAGTGCCTTTAAAAGAATTAATGAAGCCTTATTCATCCCCAAGTATAAAAGCTTAAGTTTACTGCAAAAAATACAGGCAATTACAGAAATATACAAAGAAAAGGCCAAAGTCACTCATAATAGTGCCACTGCTAGTATTTAGGTGGGTAACTTTACAGATGTGTTTCTACAAACACCACACACAATTAAAAAAAAAAACTGGGAAAAGTTTTTGTTTTGTTTTGAAAGAGAGTCTCCCTCTATTGCCCAGGCTGGAGGGCAGTGCTCTATCTTGGCTCACTGTAACCTCTGCCTCCCAGGTTCAAGTGATTCTCCTGCCTCAGCCTTCCAAGTAGCTGGGATTAAAGCACATGCCAACATGCCTAGCTAATTTTTGTTTTTTTTTTTTCAGTAGAGATGGGGTTTCACCATGTTGGTCAGGCTGGTCTCAAACTCCTGACCTCATGATCCACCCACCTAAGCCTCCCAAAATGCTGGGATTACAGGCGTGAGCCACTACACCCAGCCAAAAACTGGGAGGAAAGTTTAAACACTGTTTTGTAATCTGCTACTGCCACTTTATAACCTGTTAAACATAAAGCTCTCTGTCACCATTTTAAGGTTCCATAGTATTCAATGTTTAGATAAATCCATGTTTATATAACTTCCTTAATTATGGGCATTAAGGTGGCTTGCAGTTTTTCATCATTAAATCAATAATATGATGAGCATTCTGATACATTTTCTTGGTTAACCGTCAAGATAAATTCCTCAAAGTAAAGCTTCTGGGTAAAAGGGAGTAGTGATCGAAATAAACAAGAATGTTATGTTGTTGTAAAGCACTTGGAAGTTTCCCAATGGGGAAACTGAGGCAAAGCAACTTGCCCAAACAATGTCAGGGGCCAGGTGGAAAACTCAGATTTCCTGAGGCCTGATTGATATATTTTTTCAACATCTCTCATTGCTCGTTGAGATAACTAGATGTCTGAAGCCCATGTTCCAAAATAGGTGAATTTATATTCCCTATAAGTAGTGGGTGACATTTGCAATTATTAGATTGGTGCAAAAGTGATTGTGGTTTTTGTCACTACTTTTATTTATGTATTTATTTATTTTTTGAGACAGAGTCTCGCTCTGTTGCTCAGGCTGGAGTGCAGTGGCACAATCTCAGCTCACTGCAACCTCTGCCTCCTGGGTTCAAGCGATTCTCCTGCCTCAGCCTCCCCAGAAGCTGGAATTAGAGGTGTGCATCACCACACCCAGCTAATTTTTGTATTTTTAGTACAGACTGGATTTCACTATGTTGGCCAGGTTGGTCTTGAACTCCTGATCTCAAGTGATCCACCTTCTTTGGCCTCCAAAAGTGCTGGGATTACAGGCATAAGCCACTGTGCCCAACCCTTAGTCACTACTTTTAATGGCCAAAACTGCAGTCATTTTTGCATCAACCTAAACAGTATTCATTCATGTGTTGCCTTTGAGGTGTACCCTGAGGCATCTGAAATAACACTGTAGATTATAGTAGCATTTCCCTGACTTCTTTTATCAAAAGAGTCGCATGGAGCTCTCATTAATATCAGAGATTCCTGGGTCCTCCCCGCTGCCAAAAGCTGCTGAATTGGACTCTCCTGAGGACGTGCCTGGGTAATATTCGTGTAATGAGCACCGCAGGTGATTCTTATGATCAGGAAAACCTGGAAAGCACCTGGAGGGAGTGAGATGAGAAAATCTGTGGTGGCCAGTGGTTAACTCTTTATAGGATTGAATGGATTACATCCCAGAGGAATTGGGGAGAGGGTGCAAAATACAGAAAAGTTTTTGGGGATAGAGATGGTAAAAGTATCTCATTTTACAAGCAAAGCATGATAGTGATAGTTTCTCCTTTTATGCATATTTTGCCAAAAATGGCACTTTTTCTACAAATGTAATTTATTACCACAACAGTGAAGACTATGATGAGAAGACATTAGAGGAAAGAGGAGCGAAGACGTGAGACTCAGAGCCCTGTTAAGAAGGTGGTCAGAGAAGTGATGGGTTAATGTGCTTAGTCAGCCTCCCTCAACCCCACCTCCCTCCCCACCTCAGTCCTCTACTCATTCCCCTCAGGACGCTGTTTTTTCTCAGGAGTGGGAAGTTTTTGCCTTGGAAAAGGGCAGCTTTCATCAGCGCCCCCAAATTATGGGTTTCTAAAAGTTTAAGGGGAAGCACAGAGACCCCCAACAGGAGATGTGGTGAGAAGGCCCGCTGTGGGCTGGTGAAGCTGGTACATGCACCAGAGGTTGGTTTTGTTTGTCTCACCTAACCCAGACCTGTGGTGCACTAGGGGACAGTCACTGAATAAGTGGCTCCAGGCCCATGAGCATCAATGTCTAGGATTCTGCTCCAGAAAAGCGGGAAGCTACACTGTGTTTGTCAGCTGACTTTGAGCACAAGGAAGAAACAGCTGCTCCGTAAAACAGTGTCTCCTCACAGGTAGGAAAAACTAATGTCTTTACAAAAATGATTCTTAGAAGAATAAGTAATGCAGCCACACATGGACAGACTTTTCCACAAGGTAATGTCAGCCTCTGAAGCTCATTCAAATTCCAAAGATAATTATGTACAAGTTAATTTCTCTTTCCCTGTTCTATTTATTCTCCGTAACAATCATTACTGCCCCTCAAAAGAATTGTCTACAGTCCCCATCTCCTTTCTCCTCGATGAAAAACTGTATATATGCATCTGTACCCCACTGAGGGGTTAGGGGCAATCACTCTGATTTCCACCTCCCTTCCCTGCACGTTAATAACTTTGTATGCATTTTTCTCCTATTCATCTGCCTTTGGTCAGTTTATTTTCAGTGAACCTTCAGAGTGCAAAGGTGGGAGTTTTCCTCCTTCACCCCCTAAGAGAATAAGTAACACCTGCTTTTTTGACTTTGAGAGAGAAGGAAAGGAAAAATCATTTGGGAAAAACTCAGGCTGCATCTGCACAAAGATAAGCAACTTTGATTAGAGAGCTTCCAGGAAAAAGTTTCCTCCACTTTTCAGGCATATACACGGTGGGAACTTACACGGGGAAGAGGGAGGCTTACCTAAAACAAACCCACAATTATTAAAACAAGAGGAGCAGGCTTTATGCTTGCCTAGATACATACCCACAGCTGCATAAAATAGGGGGCATTGCACAGACACTTTTACTGATAAGAGAAGTTACTCGAACTGCTAGAGATTGAGAGAGGAGTTTCTTTAAAAAGCTTTTGAGTTCAGCTGTAACTCGGCAATCCTCTTGGACTCCCTTCCCTGCTGCAGAGAGCTTTTTTCTTTCACTTATTATTATTCTGACATGCCGTTTCACTCTTGTTGCCCAGGCTGGAGTGCAATGGTGTGATCTCACATCACTGCAACCGTTGCCTCCCGAGTTCAAGAGATTCTCCTGCCTTAGCCTCCCAAGTAGCTGGGATTACAGGCATGTGCCATCATGCCTGGCTAATTTTGTATTTTTAGTAGAGATGGAGTTTCTCCATGTTGGCCAGGCTGGTCTCCAACTCCCGACCTCGGGTTATCTACCCACCTCGGCCTCCCAAAGTTTGGGGATTACAGGTGTGAGCCACCACACCCGGCATCTTTCACTTATTAAATTTTCTCTCCAACCCCACCTTTGTGTCCACATTCCTTAATTTTCTTGGAGATAGAACAAAGAACTTGGGGTATTAGTTCAGACGATAAGAAACTGCTACATTAAGGTGCATTGGTGAGACTGCAGCAACTCTGTTCACCTCTATTTTGATTGAATTGCTTTAGTGATAAAATAACCAACTAAATCGTTATAGACTGGGCATGGTGGCTCACGCCTATAATCCCATCACTTTGGGAGGCTGAGGCTAGAAGTATTAAAACATGTGCTCTGAATGACGAGACCCACCCAAACAGGCTTTGTGTGAGCAACATGGCTGTTTATTCACATGTGCATGGGCGGGCTGAGTCCAAAAAGAGTCATTGGAGGGTAGTGGGATAGGAGTTTGTTTTATAGGTTTGGGGTAGGCAGTGGAAAGTTACAGAAGTTACGGTTCAGCGTGATTTTTGCAAGCTGGGAGTGGGGGTCATAGGATCTGGAGTCAGGAGGCTGACCAAGGTCAGTTACAAAGTCCAATTGCCTTATCAATTGAAGCAGGAATAAGGAACAATAGAGAATGTTTCAAGTTAAGAGGGTGCTGCAGGGGTTGATCATTCTGTCTCCTTTTGTGGTTTTCCAGTTACTTCAGACTTTTCAGGAACTCATCTGGGGTGTCTGTGCATGTCACAGAGGTTAACATGGTGTCCATGGTGCCGTCAGTTGGCCTAAAAGACCTTACAAGAAGATCACTTGAGGCCAGGAATTCAAAGCCAACTTGGACAGTGTGGCAGGACCCTGTCTCTTAACCATTTATTTATTTATTTATTTATTTATATTTTTAAGACAGAGTCTTGCTCTGTTGCCATGCTGGA